TGAGTCTACAGTAGTATATACTGAGTCTACAGTAGTATCTACTGACTATAGTAGTATATACTGACTCTATAGCAGTATATACTGAGTCTACAGTAGTATATACTGACTATAGTAGTATATACTGACTATAGTAGTATCTCCTGACTCTATAGCAGTATATACTTAGTCTACAGTAGTATCTACTGACTATAGTAGTATATACTGACTATAGTAGTATCTACTGACTCTATAGCAGTATATACTGAGTCTACAGTAGTATATACTGAGTCTACAGTAGTATCTACTGACTATAGTAGTATATACTGACTCTATAGCAGTATATACTGAGTCTACAGTAGTATATACTGACTATAGTAGTATATACTGACTATAGTAGTATATACTGACTATAGTAGTATCTACTGACTATAGTAGTATCTACTGACTCTATAGCAGTATATACTGAGTCTACAGTAGTATATACTGTCTACAGTAGTATATACTGACTACAGTAGTATATACTGACTATAGTAGTATCTACTGACTCTATAGCAGTATATACTGAGTCTACAGTAGTATATACTGAGTCTACAGTAGTATCTACTGACTATAGTAGTATATACTGACTCTATAGCAGTATATACTGAGTCTACAGTAGTATCTACTGAGTCTACAGTAGTATCTACTGACTATAGTAGTATCTACTGACTATAGTAGTATATACTGACTATAGTAGTATCTACTGACTATAGTAGTATATACTGACTCTATAGCAGTAACTGCACACATTGGGGTGGGGTGAGAAGAGGAATCGCACTGTTCAGGATTTTCCTCGGCGTGTGGTTGTGTAGCAGTAACAATGCTCGATTTTTCTTATTCGCCTTTTTTACACGAAGGAGAACCATCCCTCCCGTCGCCGCAAGCTCAGCGTTTCCGTGCATGCGCAGATGCGTGCTTTGCCACCGCGATCAGCGTGATAATTTGTAAAGTGTGATTTAATTCAAATCCTTTGGGTCTTTCGGTAAAGTCACACAGACGATTGCTTGTGTTGCGATCGAAAAGTAGTGATTTTTTTCTTTCTAACCACGTGACTTTACCGAAATACCCAAAGAGTATGAATTCCTGCAGTCACGAAAGCTTTAAGTCACGTGGTTGAATTCATTTACGTTTGACAGGGGAAAAATAAATATCGCGCTTTTGTCCGGGGGGCTTAGAGTGTTGTGTACTTTGTTGAAACGCAAACTCAACAGTTTGTCAGTTAAAAAGCATTGCAAGGCATACGTCGTCAAAAATTTACATTTATATGTAAGATCTTGGATATGACAGTAGAGACTGTGGTGTGAGTGAACTGGTGGCCACAGGAGGTAATGACAGGGGAGTCAGCCTGCAATGCGAAGGGACTAGTGGCCAATGAAATAACAGGGGAGCCAGCTTGCAGTACGAAGAGACTGGTGGCCACGGGAGGTAACGACAGGGGATTCAACTTGCAGTACGAAGGGACTAGTGGCGACGGGATGTAATGACAGGGGATTCAACTTGCAGTATGAAGGGACTGGTGGCCAAGGAAGGAAATAACAGAGGAGTCAGCCTACAGTGCGAAGGGACTGGTGGCCACGGGAGGTAATGACAGGGGAGTCAGCTTGCAGTACGAAGAGACTGGTGGCCACGGGAGGTACTGACAGGGGAGTCAGCTTGCAGTACGAAGGGACTAGTGGCGACGGGAGGTAATGACAGGGGATTCAACTTGCAGTATGAAGGGACTGGTGGCCAAGGAAGGAAATAACAGAGGAGTCAGCCTACAGTGCGAAGGGACTGGTGGCCACGGGAGGTAATGACAGGGGAGTCAGCTTGCAGTACGAAGAGACTGGTGGCTATTGGAATGATCGAGAATAGGAGCGTGGCCAGGTGACGGAAGAGGGCGGTACAGTCTGCTGGTGGAGCGAGCGTTTAGCGAGCGGGAATGTTCCGGAAGGGGAGGCGCGGGAGACTCGAGGCTCTTGCAGTGGGGTCTCCGCCTGTTCGGGTGAATGTCTTCAATAAAGGAACCATCTCACGACAAGCGTGTCAAGTTGTCATTACACGTACACTCGTCTGCAACATATATAGTATATATTGCATACACTCGTCTGCAAAACGCGTTCAGAGTATTTGGCTGCTGCTTTACATTTCCACGCGATGATGATGATGATCCCACTTCGCGGTTGAGCTGCTATCATTTGCGATGGCCAGGGTCGCTTCTTTAAAAAGAGCCGCTACTACATCGCAAGCTCGGTGGTGGGACCCCTTGGCAATATGAACCAAAAAAAATTGTTTAAAAACAGTTTAGTTTATATCTTGACAAACAGGGTGGGCAACAAGTTCTATCTCCATGGTACTTCCACACAACAGCAGAGCGTCCAATATTTATATCTTTTGCAGGGTGGGCGGGTGTATCAGGGTGGGTGCATCAGGGTGGGCGAGTGTATCAGGGTGTGTGTGTGTGGGGAGCGGCGGCGGAGCGGTTAGCGCTACGCTACGAACCCGGCTACCCGAGTTCGATTCCCGCTCGGGGGCAACGCCGGTGGACGTTTATCTGAACCGGTCACGGTCCTCCCCCTAGGTCGACTCGGCCTACTCCGATGAGTTACCTGGTGTGCAGTGAGCATCGCCACTGGGGAGACAAAAGGCGGCCGGGCGTGGTGTTGGGACACCCACCACCTCGTGTGCCGTGCCGGATCTTCAGAAGGTGAGCTCGCTAACAGCACTTGCCCCAACGGTCTGTTCGGGCTATACGGGGCGGGGGGGATCTTTGTCGTTGTATGTTTGTGCTTGTGTATGTGTTTGTGTGTGCGTGTGTGCATACGCGTGTGTACACGTGCGTGCGTGTGCGTACGCAAGTGTGCGTGTGTACATGTGTGTACGCGTGCGTGTGTACGTGTGTGTGTACGCGTGTGTACGTGTGTGTACGTAACCTCTTCCGCACCATAGCCAACTGCGCCCAGTGGCGATGCGGCAACAGACGACACAGACGACGACAAGCAGCAGCTTCCAAGGAATCGAGCCGTTTCCACATCACGCGACGACCAATCCCAGTTGCGCATACCGCGAGTGGTGGGGCCCTTTCCTCCCGGGGGATGGTGGCCGGGAAGGCGAGGGGGGAAGTTCCTCATCGTCAACGTCTTCAATCGGCACGAGCAAGTTTTCCCCAAAAGCGGGTTTTGACTTTTGTGCGTCTCATCAATCATCATCATCATTCAACTATTTTTTTTGTTTTTAACTAAACTACAAAAAACTTTTTTTTTAATTTGACGAGGTAAGGCCCCCAACCACTGGGCTGCTTTGTGGTAGCGGAACTTTTTTCAGAAGCGATCCCGACCGTCACCAATGATAGCAGCTCAACCAAGTGGGATCATCATCATCATCATCGCGTGGACAATTATAGCGGCAGCCAAATGCTCTCGACACGCGCGATGTCGACCCTAAATGTGGAGGGGGCAGAAAAAAAAACCGGAGCACCCGGAGAAAAATCCATGGGGGGAGCCAACATCTCCGAGCCGCCGTGATGATGATGATGATGACAGAGACACGCAAACTCAAAATATACAACGGGCGTCTGGGTCGGGATCGAACCAACGACCTCCTGCGTACCGGGCGAGGGAGTCAACATCTCCCAGCCACCGTGGTGCCATACGCCCTGCGTGGTAGCGCAGCGCGGAGACTCTGGCACGCTGATTCCGTGTCCCGGGCTTGCAAACGAGCGAGCTTGCGATTGGAGTCGGGATTTAGAACTTTTTACAGGGGAGGCACGGATGAGGCGAGCGAGAGAGTGAGGGAGATACCAGGGAGAAAGGGAGGGAGACAGAGGGAGGGAGATACCAGGGAGAAAGGGAGACAGAGGGAGGGAGATACAGGGAGAGAGGGAGATATGGAGAGAGATAGGGAGAGAGATAGGGAGAGATAGAGAGACTGAGAGATAGAGGGAGAGAGGCAGAGCAAAGTTGAGAGGGGGGGTTATTTATTTAGAGGGCCCTCCATCTCCAGTTGTTAGGGGGCTCAGTTTACCCACCCACGTTGTTCTGAGTGCGCGTGACACTGTGTGACACTGCGTGAGTGTGACACTGCGTGAGTGTGACACTGTGTGCGTGTGACACTGACACTGTGTGCGTGTGACACTGACACTGTGTGAGTGTGACACTGTGTGACACTGTGTGCCACTGTGTGAGTGTGACACTGTGTGACACTGTGTGACACTGTGTGAGTGTGACACTGTGTGCGTGTGACACTGTGACACTGCGTGAGTGTGACACTGTGTGACACTGACTGTGTGCGTGTGACACTGTGTGTGTGTGACACTGTGTGAGTGTGACACTGTGTGACACTGTGACACTGTGTGTGTGTGACACTGTGTGAGTGTGACACTGTGTGCGTGTGACACTGTGTGACATTGTGACACTGTGTGCGTGTGACACTGTGTGCGTGTGACACTGTAACACTGACACTGCGTGAGTGTGACACTGTGTGCGTGTGACACTGTGTGACATTGTGACACTGTGTGCATGTGACAGTGTGCATGTGACACTGTGTGCGTGTGACACTGCGTGAGTGTGACACTGCGTGAGTGTGACACTGTGTAACACTGACACTGTGTGACACTGTGACACTGTGTGCGTGTGACACTGTGTGCGTGTGTGTGTGTCCCTCTGCCCATCATCTCTTCTCCATCTTCACCTTGGGGGGCTTCAGGAAGGATCTCTTCTCCGTATGTGTGTGTCTGTGCCTGTGTGTGTGTATCTACGTGTGTGTTTCTGTGTGTGTGTGTCTGTGTGCCTGTGTGTATGTGTATCTACGTCGTGTGTCTGTGTGTGTGTGTCTGTGTGTGTCTGTGTGTGTCTGTGTATGTGTATCTACGTGTGTGTGCCTGTGTGTATGTGTATCTACGTGTGTGTGCCTGTGTGTCTGTCTGTGTGTGCCTGTGTGTATGTGTATCTACGTGTGTGCCTGTGTGTGTGTATCTACGTCTGTGTGTCTGTGTGTGTGTGTGCCTGTGTGTATGTCTGTGTGTAACCGCGTGTCCACATCATCTCTTCTCCATCTTCACCTTGGGGGGCTTCAGGAAGGATCTCTTCTCCGTATGTGTGTGTGTGTATGTGTGTGTATTGTATCTACGTCTGTTTGTCTGTGTGTGTGTCTGTGTGTGTGTGCCTGTGTGTGTGTCTGTGTGTGTCTGTGTCTGTGTGTGTGTCTGTGTGTGTGTGCCTGTGTGTGTCTGTGTGTCTGTGTGTAACCGCGTGTCCACGTCATCTCTTCTCCATCTTCACCTTGGGGGGCTTCAGGAAGGATCTCTTCTCCTTGGACGCCTTCTTCTTGCCCTGCGACTGGAATGACCGCCAGCTGTCCACGCGGCCGTCACGGCTCGCCTGCACGCACAGGCAGGGTGAGGGTGGAGCAGGGTGAGTCAGGGTGAGGCAGGGTGGGGCAGGGTGAGGCAGGGTGAGGGTGAGTCAGGGTGAGGGTGAGGCAAGAAGATGATCAATACACATGTTTTTATCTCATACAATTCAGAAGCACAAATGCACACTCACTACAAAGACAAAGATTCTCCGTGTAGCCTTATCAGACCGCTGGGGCAAGTGCCGTGAGTAGCAGCACCGCTACCTGTGAAGGCTACCGGCGCCATGGCACACGAAGGGGTGGGTGGCCAGCACCACGCACGGCCGCCTTTGTATCCCCTTTGTATCCTCACTACACACCGCAACACCAGGTACTCATTTGAGGCCGAGAAACCTTGGGGAGGCCCAGAACCCAATCAGATAATCGTCACTGCCGGCGTTGGTGGTGGCCGTGAGCGGGAGTCGAACTCGGGTAGCCGGGTTCGTAGCGCTAACCGCTACACCCACCGCTCCCCACAGACACACACACAGACGTCACCACGTCGCCTGTGCCAGGCCATGTGCACCTTGAGGCCACATGAAGTGTCGAACGCCCGCTGGCAGGAGGTCACGGGGCAGACCCAGGTGCCACGGGTCGACTGACTGAGATGACTGGCTGATGCACCACCTGTGCCCCCTACTGTGCCAACCTGCAGTGCTTTAGCCACCCGGCGGTCCGCTCGCTGTTGTGAGCGTCACTCCTCTGCCCTCCGTTGTTGTTGGAGGGCGACTACCTCCAACTGCCCAGGAGCGTCCTTCACGAGCCTCCTCCACAGAGGCCGATCTTGACACCGCTGGTACCAGTCATCGGAAAGTCCACTCAGCTCCACGTCCTCCTGTACCACGTCACTCCATCTCTTCTCTAGCCTGTGCTGCGCCCGTTTAGTCCCCTCGATCCGACCGAACAAAAGTTGTTTAGGCATGCGGTGGCTGGGCATGTGGGCTACATGACCCAGCCAACGCAGCCTTGCCTGCCGGAGGAGCTCACCGATGGGACCTTGCCCAGATCTTTCGAGGATTTGTTAGCTCCTCACACAATCCAGCCTGGTTAAACCCAGGATTGATCGTAGGCAGGCCAGCCTAAATGTTTCTAACCGGCGAAGATGTTCCATTAGGGGGGTCCACGTTTCGCAAGCGTAGAGAAGGGAGGGAATGACTGTGGCCAAGAAGATGTTAAACCGGAGCCGGTTATGAGCACACTGCCGAGGTATGGGAAACTCTCCACTCTCTCCACAACTGCCCCAACACCGATTGGGAGTTGTGGGGGTGGAGTGCCCAATGGTACAAAATACCCAGGCAGGTGCTTCGTTTTGGTGGGGCTGATGGTAAGGCCCCACCTCTTAGTGGCACACTCCAGGTTCAGCAGCAGCGCCTCCAACTCCTCCTCTTAGTGAGCTGCAATGACCAGGTTGTCGGCATACATAACGTGGTTGACCAATAGGGAGCCATCCCTTGACCTCACCCGGGCATCGATCAGCCTCCCATTGTATCTGTACCAGATGGAAATTCCTCCGGCACAGCTACTGAAGGCTTCACGAACTACGTGGTCGAAATAGATGTTAAATAATGTGGGAGCCAGAGGACATCCCTGTCGCACCCCAAGGTGTACAGGGAATGGCTCTGACTCCCAGCCACGTAGTTTTACCCAGGCCCGCTCACCATCATGAAGGTCCTTAATGATAATGAGCAGAGAGTCAGGGACTCCGAAAGCACGAAGAACAACCCAGAGCCCAGGCCTACTGATGGTATCATAGGCCTTGACCAGGTCAATAAAGCAGAGATGTAGATCTTGTTGGAATTCCCTACACCTCTGCTGTAGCAGACGGACAGAAAATATGGCATCTGTGCAGGACCGCCCCTTCCTGAAACCGCATTGGGGCTTCGCAAGCCTCTCCTCAGTGTGCCTAGCAAGGCGATGTTGAATAATCCTTGCCAGGACCTTTCCCAGCACACTGAGGAGTGAGATTCCCCTGTAGTTGTTACAGCCTGTGCGGTCCCCCTTCTTCAAGAGGGGGACCACCAGGGCATCCTTCCAATCCTTCCAATCCTGCGGAACCCGTCCAGTGGCCCAAACTGTTGTTATGATGTCATATAGGGCAGTCTGTGCACAAACGCCACCCTCCCTCAGCATTTCGCTTGGGAGATCATCTCTGCCCGGTGCCTTTTCTGGTCTCAGACTCTGGATCGTCTTCAGTACTTCCTCAACGGATGGCACCTCAGCCAGCCACTCACAGGGGTTGACTTCCTCCTCCAATATTTGAGGCACCGCAGCCTCAGCAGGCTCATCCCCCCTTTGTCCCATGATGTTTTCCAGGGTGAGGGATTCCCCCTCCCCTAGGACCTCACAGAAATGCTCAGCAAATCTGCAAACCTGTTCCTGGGGGTCGGAGATTGGATAACCGTTCTTTCCCCTAATGATTGTAACAGGTGTGGCGCTGCAGGTTACTTTTTTGATGGAGTTAAATTGGGATTTGTGATCAAGGGCCATTGAGGCAGACTCCATCTCTTCAGCAACCTGCGACCACCACCCTCGCCCATTTACCCTCGACATCAGGAGTGGGGGACGATGCCAACCCCAGCAGCAAGCGATGATGAAATTCTCGCTTGCAACTTTCATCAGCTAGCTGAGACCAGGCCAAATTAAGGTTGGAATGGGGTTCTGGGTGTACACCCACCACCGGAGCGGAAGATTTGCAGGCGCATCTTACAGATGACAAGTCGATGGTCAGAGGGCAGATCAGCTCCACGGTAGGTCCTGGTGTCAAGGACATGGGCTTGCATCTGTTGGTCCGTAACTATGTAGTTCAGCAGATGTTCTTGCTTGGACCCGGCATGCATCCATGATGTTGTGTGGATGCGCCGATGCCGGAACAGCGTGTTGGTAATTACAAGCCCATGGGCTGCACAAAAATCTAGCAGCCTCCTACCGTTGTTATTGAGCTGATCTGGCCCATGCCTTCCAATCACTCCAGACCAGGTGCCAGCATCATGACCAACTCAGGCATTGAAGTCACCCAACAAGATGACTCTATCCCGAGGGGCAACTTTAGCCAGCACCTGTGACAGGTCATAGAAGGTATCTGACTCATCGGCCTTGCCTCCATCCCTCCACGGGTGTTCGTCTTCAGTAGGGGCATAAGTAGCCACGACCACCACTCCTCACCTCCGGTTGATGGAAAGGCGAGTGCAAAGTAGCCTGGGACTTACGGCTTCCCACACCTCACCGCCACGCTCCCACGCCCACTTTATTCTTTTGTTCAGAAGAGCCACTCCCTGTTGTTTGGCAGTCTGCTGCCCCGAGTAGAGGACTGTCCACCCCTCATGGTGGCAGGAGCCAGTGCCGGTCCACCGGACCTCCTGAATGCCACAGAGATCCAGGCGGTACCAGTCCAGCTCCCGACAGAGGAGTGGCAGCCTCTCCTCCGCAGTGAGTGTTCGAACATTCCACGTGGCCACACGTAGCGGATTTTTGTTGTTTCTGGAGGAACCCCAAGGGTAAAAAATAAATCTCCTGGCTCTACCAGATCAGGTTTGGCCAGGAGACGTCATAGTCAGACAGATACACACGCAGACACACACACAGACGACGTCACCACGTCGCCTGTGCTAGGCTAGGTGCACTTTGAGGTTACCATGTGAAAGTGTCGAAGGCTCTCTGGCTGACAGGTCACGGGACAGACTCATCATGGTGCCGTGGGTCGTCTGACTGAGATGAACGTCAGATGCACCACCACCAGCTGTTCCTCCCTACTGTGCCAACTTGCTGTGTTTTAGCCGCCCGGCGCTCCGCTCGTTGTTGTGAGTGTCATTCCTCTACCCTCCAATTCATCTTTCTCTCAGAGGGCGACTGCCTCCAACTTACCAGTAGCAGCAGCAGCGGCCTTCACGAGTCTCTTCCCACAAACTCACACACTCCCGCAAACACACACTTGCATCATTTCACTCCCATTCACAAACTCACACTCCGATTCACAAACTCGCTCGCAGTTCCATTCACAAACTCACTCGCACTCCCATCCACACACTCACTCGCACTCCTATCCACACACTCACTCGCACTCTCATTCACAAACTCCCTCGCACTTCCATCCACAAACTCACTCGCACTCCCATCCACACACTCACTCGCACTCCCATTCACAAACTCACTCACACTCCCATTCACAAACTCCCTCGCACTCCCATCCACACACTCACTCACTCCCATTCACAAACTCCCTCGCACTCCCATTCACAAACTCCCTCGCACTCCCATTCACAAACTCACTCGCACTCCCATTCACAAACTCCCTCGCACTCCCATTCACAAACTCACTCGCACTCCCATTCACAAACTCACTCGCACTCCCATTCACAAACTCCCTCGCACTCCCGTTCACAAACTCACTCGCACTCCCGTTCACAAACTCAATCGCACTCCCATCCACAAACTCACTCGCACTCCCGTTCACAAACTCACTCGCACTCCCGTTCACAAACTCAATCGCACTCCCATCCACAAACTCACTCGCACTCCCATTCACAAACTCACTCGCACTCCCGTTCACAAACTCACTCGCACTCCCATTCACAAACTCACTCGCACTCCTGTTCACAAACTCCCTCGCACTCCCATCCACACACTCACTCGCACTCCCAATCACAAACTCACTCGCACTCCCATCCACAAACTCACTCACACTCCCGTCCACAAACTCACTCACACTCCCGTTCACAAACTCACTCGCACTTCCGTTCACAAATTCACTCGCACTCCCATCCACAAACTCACTCACTCCCATTCACAAACTCCCTCGCACTCCCATTCACAAACTCCCTCGCACTCCCATCCACAAACTTACTCGCACTCCCGTTCACAAACTCACTCCCATCCACAAACTCACTCGCACTCCCATTCACAAACTCCCTCGCACTCCCATCCACAAACTCAATCGCACTCCCATTCACAAACTCCCTCGCACTCCCATCCACACACTCACTCGCACTCCTATCCACACACTCACTCGCACTCCCATTCACAAACTCCCTCGCACTCCCATCCACACACTCACTCGCACTCCCATTCACAAACTCACTCGCACTCCCATCCACAAACTCACTCGCACTCCCATTCACAAACTCCCTCGCACTCCCATCCACAAACTCCCTCGCACTCCCATTCACAAACTCACTTGCACTCCCATTCACAAACTCACTCGCACTCCCATCCACAAACTCACTCGCACTCCCGTCCACAAACTCACTCGCACTCCCATACACAAACTCCCTCGCACTCCCATCCACAAACTCACTCCCATCCACAAACTCACTCACACTCCCATCCACAAACTCACTCGCACTCCCGTCCACAAACTCACTCGCACTCCCATCCACAAACTCACTCGCACTCCCATCCACAAACTCACTCCCATCCACAAACTCACTCGCACTCCCATCCACAAACTCACTCGCACTCCCATCCACAAACTCACTCCCATCCACAAACTCACTCGCACTCCCATCCACAAACTCACTCAAAACTCCCGTTCACAAACTCACTCAAAACTCCCATTCACAAACTCACTCGCACTCCCGTCCACAAACTCACTCACACTCCCGTTCACAAACTCACTCACACTCCCGTTCACAAACTCACTCGCACTCCCATTCACAAACTCCCTCGCACTCCCATTCACAAACTCACTCCCATTCACAAACTCACTCCCATTCACAAACTCACTCGCACTCCCGTCCACAAACTCACTCACACTCCCATCCACAAACCCAACGCACCTCAAAATTCTTCTGCCACTCCTTCTCCTTCTTCTCCGACTCCTCCTGCTCGATTTCCTCTTCGCGTTGTCGCTTCCTGAGCCACAACAGAGACGTGGTGACGCGCGGTCAAAGCTCCCCCGCGTAGCCTCCAACACGCCGTTGGGGCAAGGGGCTTGCTAGCGGCGGCGGCGGCGGCTATGGAGGGCTACCGGCGCTGTGACACACAGGGGAGGGGGGTACGGACATCACCACGTTCACACTCCGCACCGTGGTATTCGTTTGAGGCCGAGTCGACCTAGGGGAGGCCCAGGGTCGAAGTTCGAACGTCCCGCCACTGTTTTGTTGGCCGCGAGCTCAGCGGCGGTGACGTCGCCACGGTGCTCGGTGCCACGCTCGGTGCACCCTGGAGGCCACGCCAAGTGACGGAGGTGTCCCACCCCCCCTTGTGTCTCTAACACCCAGTGTGTCTCTCACCCTGTGTGTCTCACCCTGTGTGTCTCACCCTGTGTGTCTCTCACCCTGTGTCTCTCTCTGTGTGTCTCTCACCCTGTGTCTCTCACCCTGTGTCTCTCTCTGTGTGTCTCTCACCCTGTGTCTCTCACCCTGTGTCTCTCTCTGTGTGTCTCTCACCCTGTGTCTCTCACCCTGTGTGTCTCTCTCACCCTGTGTGTCTCTCTCACCCTGTGTGTCTCTCACCCTGTGTCTCTCTCACCCTGTGTGTCTCTCTCACCCTGTGTCTCTCACCCTGTGTGTCTCTCTCACCCTGTGTCTCTCTCTCACCCTGTGTCTCTCTCTCACCCTGTGTCTCTCACCCTGTGTCTCTCACCCTGTCTCTCTCTCACCCTGTGTCTCTCTCTCACCCTGTGTCTCTCACCCTGTGTCTCTCTCTGTGTGTCTCTCACCCTGTGTCTCTCACCCTGTGTCTCTCTCTGTGTGTCTCTCTCACCCTGTGTGTCTCTCACCCTGTGTGTCTCTCACCCTGTGTCTCTCTCACCCTGTGTGTCTCTCTCACCCTGTCTCTCTCACCCTGTGTGTCTCTCTCACCCTGTGTCTCTCTCTCACCCTGTGTCTCTCTCTCACCCTGTGTCTCTCACCCTGTGTCTCTCACCCTGTCTCTCTCTCACCCTGTGTCTCTCACCCCCTGTGTGTCTCTCACCCTGTGTCTCTCACCCTGTGTGTGTCTCTCACCCTGTGTGTGTCTCTCACCCTGTGTGTCTCTCTCACCCTGTGTGTCTCTCACCCTGTGTGTCTCTCTCACCCTGTGTGTGTCTCTCACCCTGTGTGTCTCTCTCACCCTGTGTCTCTCTCACCCTGTGTCTCTCTCACCCTGTGTCTCTCTCTCACCCTGTGTCTCTCACCCTGTGTCTCTCACCCTGTGTCTCTCACCCTGTGTGTCTCTCTCACCCTGTGTCTCTCTCACCCTGTGTCTCTCTCACCCTGTGTCTCTCTCACCCTGTGTCTCTCACCCTGTGTCTCTCTCTCACCCTGTGTCTCTCACCCTGTGTCTCTCACCCTGTGTCTCTCACCCTGTGTGTCTCTCTCACCCTGTGTGTCTCTCTCACCCTGTGTCTCTCCCCCTGTGTGTCTCTCTCACCCTGTGTCTCTCACCCTGTGTGTCTCTCTCACCCTGTGTGTCTCTCTCTCACCCTGTGTGTCTCTCTCACCCTGTGTGTCTCTCACCCTGTGTGTCTCTCACCCTGTGTCTCTCTCACCCTGTGTGTCTCTCACCCTGTGTGTCTCTCTCACCCTGTGTGTCTCTCTCACCCTGTGTGTCTCTCTCTCACCCTGTGTGTCTCTTACCCCTGTCACACCCCCCGTGCCCCCCCCCCACCTCTGGTGCATGTCACGAGTGGCCCTCTCCCGTTTCTTGATCTCCAGGTCAGCGAACAGCTTCATGGTCTGCTTGTGTAGCGCCTTCTTGTACTGCAACAGCAACAACAACAGCTACACCCTCACACCCCTACAACAACAACAACAAGCTACACCCTCACACCCCTACAACAACAACAACAACAGCTACACCCTCACACCCCTACAACAACAACAGCTACACCCTCACACCACTACAACAACAACAGCTACACCCTCACACCACAACAACACCCTCACACCCCTACAACAACAACAGCTACACCCTCACACCACTACAACAACAGCTACACCCTCACACCACTACAACAACACCCTCACACCCCTACAACAACAACAGCTACACCCTCACACCACTACAACAACAGCTACACCCTCACACCACTACAACAGCTACACCCTCACACCCCTACAACAACAACAGCTACACCCTCACACCCCTACAACAACAGCTACACCCTCACACCCCTACAACAACAACAGCTACACCCTCACACCACTACAACAACAACAGCTACACCCTCACACCCCTACAACAGCTACACCCTCACACCACTACAGCAACAACAGCTACACCCTCACACCCCTACAGCAACAACAGCTACACCCTCACCCCTACAACAGCTACACCCTCACACCACTACAGCAACAACAGCTACACCCTCACACCCCTACAGCAACAACAGCTACGCCCTCACACCCCTACAGCAACAACAGCTACACCCTCACACCACTACAGCAACAACAGCTACACCCTCACACCCCTACAGCAACAACAGCTACACCCTCACACCCCTACAGCAACAACAGATACGCCCTCACACCCCTACAGCAACAACAGCTACACCCTCACACCCCTACAGCACCATCCTCCTCCTCCACATGAGTCTCTGTTAAACTCCGCCTCCTGCCCCTCCCCCTTTCCCCACCCTCGCCCCTCACCGCTTCAGGGTCGAGTTCCTCCTCCACGATCTGCGGCTTCCCCTGCTTCTTCAGCTGCTTCTTCTTCTCTTTGATCTGAGAAAGGCCACGCAGACACACGGACAGACACACACACACAGATAGATACACATACAGATAACAACAACCGCCATTCACCACTAAGTGGCGGTGACAGTCACCACGACGCTTGTGCCAGGCCATGTGCACCCTTGAGGCCACGTGAAGTGTCGAACGCCCGCTGGCAGGAAGGTCACGGGGCAGACCCAGGTGCCACGGGTCGACTGACTGAGATGACTGGCTGATGCACCACCTGTGCCCCCTACTGTGCCAACCTGCTGTGCTTTAGCCACCCTGCGCTCCGCTCGTTGTTGTGAGCGTCGCTCATCCGCCATCCGTTATTGTTGGAGGGCGACTGCCTCCAACTGCCCAGTAGCGTCCTTCACGAGCCTTCTCCACAGAGGCCGATCTTGACACCGCTGGTACAGTCATCGGCAAGTCCACTCAGCTCCACGTCCTCCTGTACCACATCACTCCATCTCTTCTCTGGCCCAGTGCCGCGCCCGTTAAGCCCCCTCGATCCGGTCGAACATAAGCTGTTTCGGCATGCGGTGGCTGGGCATGCGGGCTACATGACCCAGCAAACGCAGCCTTGCCTGCCGGTGGAGCTCACCGATGGGACCTTGCCCAGATCTTTCAAGGATTTGTGAGCTCCTCACACAATCCAGTCTGGTTAAACCCAGGATGGATCGTAGGTAGGCCAGCCTAAATGTCTCTAACCGGCGAAGATGTTCCATTAGGGGGGTTCACGTTTCGCAAGCGTAGAGAAAAGAGGGAATGACCGTGGCCGAGAAGACCTGAAGCGTAGTGCGGAGCGACAGACCAGGTAGCTTCCACACAGCGTTACGCAACAGATGAAAAGATATTGCCGCTCGACTGATTCGGAGTGAGACCTCTGCTGTTAAACTGGAGCCGGTCATAAGCACACTGCCCAGGTATGGGAAACTCTCCACTCTCTCCACAACTGCCCCATCACTGAATGGGAGTTGTGGGGGTGGAGTGTCCGATGGTACAAAATACCCAGGCAGGTGCTTAGTTTTGGTGGGGCTCTTAGTGGCACGCTCCAGTCTCAGCAGCAGCGTCTCCAACTCCTCCTCTGAATTATAAGCTATTACCAATTCATCGACATACATAACGTGGTTGAGCAATAGGGAGCCATCCCTTGACCGCACCCGGGCATCGATCAGCCTCCCATTATATCTGTACCAAATGGAGATTCCCCCGGTACAGCTATTGAAGGCTTCAAAAACTACGTGGTCAAAATAGATGTTAAATAATGTGGGAGCCAGAGGACATCCCTGTCGCACCCCAAGGTGTACAGGGAATGGCTCTGACTCCCGGCCACGTAGTTTTACCCGGGCCCGCTCACAATCATGAAGGTCCTTAATGATCGTGAGCAGAGGGTCAGGGACTCCAAAAGCACGAAGAACGACCCAGAGCCCAGGCCTACTGATGGTATCATAGGCCTTGACCAGGTCAATAAAGCAGAGATGTAGGTCTTGTTGGAATTCCCTACACCTCTGCTGTAGCAGACGGACAGAAAATATGGCATCTGTGCAGGACCGCCCTTTCCTGAAACCGCATTGGGGCTCCGCAAGCCTCTCCTCAGCGTGTCCTAGCAAGGATGTTAAATAATCCTTGCCAGGACCTTTCCCGGCACACTGAGGAGTGAGATGCCCCTGTAGTTGTTACAGTCTGTGCGGTCCCCCTTCTTAAAGAGGGGGACCACCAGGGCATCCTTCCAATCCTGCGGAACCCGTCCAGTGGTCCAGATTGTTGTTATGATGTCATATAGGGCAGTCTGTGCACAAACGCCACCCTCTCTCAGCATTTCGCTTGGGAGATCAGTCTCTACCCGCTGCCTTTCCTGGTCTCAGACTCCTGGATCGCCTTCAATACTTCCTCAACAGATGGCACCTCAGGCCAGCCACTCACAGGGGGTGACTTCTATCCAATATTTGAGGCACCGCAGCCTCAGCAGGGTCATCCTCACTTTGTGCCACGATGTTTTCCTGGCTGAGGGATTTTCCCTCCCCCAGGACCTCACAGAAATGCTCAGAAAATCTGCGAACCTGTTCCTGGGGGTTGGAAATTGGATCACCGTTTTTTCCCCTAATGATGGTAATAGGTGTGGCGCTGCAGGTTACTTTTTTGATGGAGTTAAATAGAGATTTGTGATCACGGGCCACTGAGGCAGACTCCATCTCCTCAGCAACCCGCGACCACCACCCATCCTTGCAGCGCCTCACGGCTCTCCGAACCTCCGAGCGAAGGCTGCGGTAAGCCTCCTCATTTTCAGACGTGGGATTCTGTAGCCGATGACAGTGGGCCTGTCGCTTTTTCTCAACCATCGTGAACAACTCCTCTGTCATCCAGGGTGTCTGGGGAGGTCTGGTCCGCGTACCCAAAGCAGCCATTGCAGCTGCATGAGTCACAGTCCTAAACCTCGCCCATTTACCCTCGACATCAGGAGGAGTCGGGGACGATGCCAATCCCAGCCGCAAGCGATGATGAAATTCTCGCTTGCAACTTTCATCAGATAACTGAGACCAGGCCACTTTAGGTTGGAATGGGGTCCTGGGTGTACACCCACCACCGGAGTGGAAGAATGGCAGGCGCATCTTACAGATGACTAGTCGATGGTCAGAGGGCAGATCAGCTCCACGGTAGGTCCTGGTGTCAAGGACATGGGCTCGCAATCGCTGGTCCGTCACTATGTAGTCCAGCAGATGTTCTTGCTTGGACCCGGCATGCATCCATGATGTTGTGTGGATGCGCCGATGCCGGAACAGCGTGTTGGTAATTACAAGCCCATGGGCTGCACAAAAATCTAGCAGCCTCCTACCGTTGTTATTGAGCTGATCTGGCCCATGCCCTCCAATCACTCCAGACCAGGTGCCAGTATCATGACCAACTCGGGCATTGAAGTCACCCAACATGATGACTCTATCCCGAGGGGCCACTTTAGCCAGCACCTGTGACAGGAGGTCATAGAAGGCATCTGACTCATCGGCTTTGCCTGCATCCCTCCACGGATGTTCATCTTCGGTGGGGGCATAAGTAACCACGACCACCATTCCTCGCCTCCGGTTGATGGGAAGGCGAGCCCACATACAGATAGACACACACACACACACAGATAGACACACACACAGACACACACACACACACAGACACACATACAGATAGACACACACAGATAGACACACACACAGATAGACACACACACAGACCCACATACAGATAGACACACAGACAGACACACACAGATAGACACACACACAGACAGACACACACCCACAGACACACACACAGATAGACACACACAGACACACATACAGATAGACACACACACAGATAGACACACACAGATACACACACACACAGACACACACCCACACACACGCACCCACACACACGCAGACACACACACAGATACACACACAGATACACACACACACAGACACACACCCACACACACACAGACACACACACAGATAGACACACACACAGACACACACAGATAGACACACACACAAATAGACACACACACACAGATAGACACACACGCAGATACAACAACAACCGCCATTCGCCACTAAGTGGCGGTGATGTCACCACGATGCTTTTGCCAGGCCATGTGCACCTGAGGCCACGTGAAGTGTCGAACGCCCGCTGGCAGGAGGTCACGGGGCAGACCCAGGTGCCACGGGTCGACTGACTGAGATGACTGGCTGGTGCACCACCTGTGCCCCCTACTGTGCCAACTTGCTGTGCTTTAGCCACCCGGCGCTCCGCTCGTTGTTGTGAGCATCGCTCCTCCGCCCTCTGTTGTTGTTGGAGGGCGACTGCCTCCAACTGCCCAGTAGCGTCCTTCACAAGCCTCCTCCACAGAGGCCGATCTTGACACCGCTGGTACCAGTCATTGGCAAGTCCACTCAGCTGTTTAGGCATGCGGTGGCTGGGCATGCGGGCTACATGACCCAAATAACGCAGCCTTGCCTGCCGGAGGAGCTCACCGATGGGACTTTGTCCAGATCTTTCTAGGATCTGTGAGCTCCTCACACTACCCAGCCTAGTTAAACCAGGAAGGATCGTAGGCAGGCCACCCTGAATGTTTCTAACAGGCGAAGATGCTCCATTAGGGGGGTCCATGCATCAAAAGCGTAGAGAAGGGAGTGCATGACTGTGGCCAAGAAGACCCGAAGCTTCATGCGGAGTGACAGACCAGGTAGCTTCCACACAGCGTTATGCAAGTCTATGCTAGTCTAAGGGTCTCCATGTAAGTGAATGCTAGTCTCGGGGTCTCTATGTAGGTCTATGCTTTCACAGACACCCACACAGACACCCACACAGACACCCACACAGAGACCCCAGACACCCACACAGACACCCACACAGACACCCACACAGAGACCCCAGACACACACACAGACACACACACACAGACACCCACACAGACACCTAGACAGACACCCACACAGACACACAGAGAGACCAAAGACACACACAGACACCCACACAGACACCCAGACAGAGACCCCAGACACACACACAGACACCCACACAGACACCCACACAGAGACCCCAGACACACACACAGACACACACACAGACACCCACACAGACACCCACACAGAGACCCCAGACACCCACACAGACACCCACACAGACACCCACACAGACACACCCACTCCAGGAATCAAAACCCAGGAAACTCGGTTAGCCTCCCGCTCGGCATTTCTGACACGGCCCGGGGCTGTGATGGCGACTCTCACGTTGTGCTCCACGTGCTCCCGCGCCGCCGTGATGACCTCCAGGGCGTTCGTCTTGTGCTCCTCGTTGAGCAACGACTTGTAGGCCTTGTCCACGGCTGAGACACGCCGGGAGGGGTGGGGGAGGGAGACACGGAGAGACGCGGGGAGAGAGACACGGGGAGGTGGAGGGAGACACGGGGAGGTGGAGGGAGACACGGGGAGGTGGAGGGAGACACGGGGTGGTGGAGGGAGACACGGGGAGGTGGAGGGAGACACGGGGAGGTGGAGGGAGACACGGGGTGGTGGAGGGAGACACGGGGAGGTGGAGGAAACACGGGGAGGAGGGAGACACGGGGAGGTAGAGGGAGACACGGGGAGGTGGAGGGAGACACGGGGAGGTGGAGGGAGACACGGGGAGGTGGAGGGAGACACGGGGTGGTGGAGGGAGACACGGGGAGGTGGAGGGAGACACGGGGAGGTGAAGGGAGACACGGGGAGGTAGAGGGAGACACGGGGTGGTGGAGGGAGACACGGGGTGGTGGAGGGAGACACGGGGAGGTGGAGGGAGACACGGGGAGGTGGAGGGAGACACGGGGAGGTGAAGGGAGACACGGGGAGGTAGAGGGAGACACGGGGTGGTGGAGGGAGACACGGGGAGGTGGAGGGAGACACGGGGAGGTGGAGGGAGACACGGGGAGGTGAAGGGAGACACGGGGAGGTGTAGGGAGACACGGGGAGGTGGAAGGAGACACGGGGAGGTGGAGGGAACCACGGGGAGATGGAGGGAGACACGGGGAGGTGGAGGAAACACGGGGAGGTGGAGGAGACACGGGGAGGTGGAAGAGACACAGGGTGGGGGAGGAGACATGGGGAGGTGGAGGGAGACACGGGGAGGTGGAGGGAGACACGGGGAGGAGAGGGGAGACATGAGGAGGAGGGGGAGGGAGACACGGGGAGGTGGAGGGAGACACGGGGAGGAGGAGAGGGGAGACATGAGGAGGAGGGGGAGGGAGACATGGAGAGACATGGGGAGAGAGACACGGGGAGGTGGGAGACACGGGGAGGTGGAGGGAGACACGGGGAGGAGGGAGACACGGGGAGGAGGGAGACACGGGGAGGTGGAGGGAGACACGGGGAGGTGGAAGGAGACACGGGGAGGTGGAGGAGACACGGGGAGGTGGAGGAGACACGGGGAAGTGGAAGAGACACAGGGTGGGGGAGGAGACATGGGGAGGTGGAGGGAGACACGGGGAGGTGGAGGGAGACACGAGGAGGGGGAGGGAGACACGGAGACATGGGGAGAGAGACACGGGGAGGTGGAGGGAGACACGGGGAGGTGGAGGGAGACACGGGGAGGTGGAGGGAGACACGGGGAGGTGGAGGGAGACACGGGGTGGTGGAGGGAGACACGGGGAGGTGGAGGGAGACACGGGGTGGTGGAGGGAGACACGGGGAGGTGGAGGGAGACACGGGGTGGTGGAGGGAGACACGGGGAGGTGGAGGGAGACACGGGGAGGTGGAGGGAGACACGGGGAGGTGAAGGGAGACACGGGGAGGTAGAGGGAGACACGGGGTGGTGGTGGGAGACACGGGGTGGTGGAGGGAGACACGGGGAGGTGGAGGGAGACACGGGGAGGTGGAGGGAGACACGGGGAGGTGAAGGGAGAAACGGGGAGGTAGAGGGAGACACGGGGTGGTGGAGGGAGACACGGGGAGGTGGAGGGAGACACGGGGAGGTGGAGGGAGACACGGGAAGGTGAAGGGAGACACGGGGAGGTGTAGGGAGACACGGGGAGGTGGAAGGAGACACGGGGAGGTGGAGGGAGCCACGGGGAGATGGAGGGAGACACGGGGAGGTGGAGGAAACACGGGGAGGTGGAGGAGACACGGGGAGGTGGAAGAGACACAGGGTGGGGGAGGAGACATGGGGAGGGGGAGGGAGACACGGGGAGGTGGAGGGAGACACGGGGAGGAGGAGAGGGGAGACACGAGGAGGAGGGGGAGGGAGACATGGAGAGACATGGGGAGAGAGACACGGGGAGGTGGGAGACACGGGGAGGTGGAGGGAGACACGGGGAGGAGGGAAACACGGGGAGGAGGGAGACACGGGGAGGTGGAGGGAGACACGGGGAGGTGGAAGGAGACACGGGGAGGTGGAGGAGACACGGGGAGGTGGAGGAGACACGGGGAAGTGGAAGAGACACAGGGTGGGGGAGGAGACATGGGGAGGTGGAGGGAGACACGGGGAGGTGGAGGGAGACACGAGGAGGGGGAGGGAGACACGGAGACATGGGGAGAGAGACACGGGGAGGTGGGAGACACGGGGAGGTGGAGGGAGACACGGGGTGGTGGAGGGAGACACGGGGAGGTGGAGGGAGACACGGGGAGGTGGAGGGAGACACAGGGAGGTGGAGGGAGACACGGGGAGGTGGAGGGAGACACGGGGAGGTGGAGGAAACACGGGGAGGTGGAGGAGACACGGGGAGGTGGAGGGAGACACGGGGAGGTGGAGGAAACACGGGGAGGTGGAGGAGACACGGGGAGGTGGAAGAGACACAGGGTGGGGGAGGAGACATGGGGAGGTGGAGGGAGACACGGGGAGGTGGAGGGAGACACGGGGAGGAGGAGAGGGGAGACACGAGGAGGAGGGAGACATGGAGAGACATGGGGAGAGAGACCCGGGGAGGTGGGAGACACGGGGAGGTGGAGGGAGACACGGGGAGGAGGGAGACACGGGGAGGAGGGAGACACGGGGAGGTGGAGGGAGACACGGGGAGGTGGAGGGAGACACGGGGAGTTGGGAGACACGGGGAGGTGTAGGAGACACGGGGAGGTGGAGGGAGACACGGGGAGGTGGAGGAGACACGGGGAAGTGGAAGAGACACAGGGTGGGGGAGGAGACATGGGGAGGTGGAGGGAGACACGGGGAGGTGGAGGGAGACACGGGGAGGTGGAGAGGGGAGACACGAGGAGGGGGAGGGAGACACGGAGACATGGGGAGAGAGACACGGGGAGGTGGGAGACACGGGGAGGTGGAGGGAGACACAGGGAGGTAGAGGGAGACACGGGGTGGTGGAGGGAGACACGGGGTGGAGGTGGAGGGAGACACGGGGTGGTGGAGGGAGACACGGGGAGGAGGGGGAGGGAAACACGGGGAGGGGGAGGGAGACACGGGGTGGTGGAGGGAGACACGGGGAGGAGGAGAGGGGAGACACGAGGAGGGGGAGGGAGACATGGAGAGACATGGGGAGAGACACGGGGAGGTGGGAGACACGGGGAGGTGGAGGGAGACACGGGGAGGAGGGAGACACGGGGAGGTGGAGGGAGACACGGGGAGGTGGAGGGAGACACGGGGAGGTGGAGGGAGACACGGGGAGGTGGAGGGAGACACGAGGAGGTGGAGGAAACACGGGGAGGAGGGGGAGGGAGACACGGGGTAGTGGAGGGAGACACGGGGTGGAGGTGGAGGGAGACACGGGGTGGTGGAGGGAGACACGGGGAGGAAGACACGGGGAGGGAGACACGGGGTGGTGGAGGGAGACACGGGGGGGAAGGGGAGGGAGACACGCAGTTACGCAACAAAGAGCGGCGATGATGACACGTTTTCCGCAGCTGTATCGCAGCTTTCAGGATGTTAACAAAAGGCAGCGTGAGGACGTCCCAGCAGCTGTGTCACGTCCCAGCAGCTGTGAACAGCTGCTGGGACGTGACCGGGTGGGGGGGGGCGATCCCGACCCTGAGGACGCCTGCTGCTGTAAATTTGGAGTCTGCGTCTCTCTCTCGTTCCCCGTGGTCGCGAGGATTTTTCTCCAGGTCCTCCGGTTTGTCCCCTCCACATTTAGAATCAAAGTCACCATGCGTTTAGAGTATATTTGGATGATGATAAGCCACTTCGTTGAGCTTTCATTTGTGATAATCATCTAGAGCTACACAGCAGTTCTGTGGGCCTTACTTGGTATAATAAAAAGTTTAGTTTCAGTATGGGTCTATGAGTGTGGGTCTCTGTGGGTCTCTGTGGGTGTCTGTGGGCCTCTGTGGGCCTCTGTGGGCCTCTGTGGGCCTCTGTGGGTCTCTGTGGGTCTCTGTGGGTGTCTGTGGGTGTCTGTGGGTGTCTGTGGGTGTCTGTGGGCCTCTGTGGGCCTCTGTGGGCCTCTGTGGGCCTCTGTGGGCCTCTGTGGGCCTCTGTGGGCCTCTGTGGGTCTTCCTGGGTCTCCGTGAGGCTCCGGGAGGCTCTTTGGGTCTCTGAGGGTCTCCGTGGGTCTCTGTGGGTCTCTGTGAGTATGGGTCTCGATAGGCCAGGTCGCCTCTGATAAACGAGCAAACATAGCAACTGAAGTGGGCCCTCACCTGGCCAAATCAATGCAAATTGTCGGTAGTTTTTGTTTACATTTGGGAGCACCGGTCACGGCACATCCGCCCGGGAGGGGGCCACTCACCTTCGAACGCCTTCTGCGCCCTCTCTGCATCATCCTGGTTCTTGTCCGGGTGAACCAGGATAGAGAGCTGCCAATTACAGCGACATAAAAGCATCACGCGGCCGTCTCCCGTGCAGCCTCCGAGTTATTTTCGCACCTCCAATTAGCACGGTGGGCTACGTACGGTGTGCGAAATAAGTTCAACACAATGCCCATTGACTCAACATTGCCCATAGACTCAGCACTGCCCCATAGACTCAGCACTGCCCCATAGACTCAACACTGCCCCATAGACTCAGCACTGCCCATAGACTCAGCACTGCCCCATAGACTCAGCATTGCCCATAGACTCAACACTGCCCATAGATCATCACTGGACCTCCTTTGCCAGTACAAAAATATAATAACAGGGGTTTCCCCTTTTTTTTCTGCCAACAAAACTGAAACCTTTTTACAAGGATTCATGTCACTGCATTAACCACAATACCTGCAGTCAAAATACAAAAAAAACATACTATGATAATATATGTGGCATTATCCTTGAAACTGATTGGTCCACACCAAGGGACTGCTTTCTTTTGAGCCTCGATCCAATTGGTGCTCGACCAGATGACGCCAAAAGGCGTCATAGACTCAACACTACCCAGACTCAACACTACCCATAGACTCAACACTACCCATAGACTCAACACTGCCCACAGACTCAACACTACCCACAGACTCAACACTGCCAATACACCAACACTGCCCATAGACCCAACACTGCACCATAGACTCAACACTGCCCATAGACTCAACACTGCCCACAGACTCAACACTGCTCATAGACTCAACACTGCACCATAGACTCAGCACTGCCCAGACTCAACACTGCACCATAGACTCAACACTACCTATAGACTCAACACTGCCCATAGACTCAACACTGCACCATAGACTCAACACTGCCCATAGACTCAACACTGCCCATAGACTCAACACTGCCCATATACTTAACACTGCCCATAGACTCAACACTGCACCACAGACTCAGCACTGCCCATAGACTCAACACTGCCCATAGACTCAACACTGCCCATAGACTCTAAACTGCCCATAGACTCAACACTGCCCTTAGACTCAACACTGCCCACAGACTCAACACTGCTCATAGACTCAACACTGCACCATAGACTCAGCACTGCCCAGACTCAACACTGCACCATAGATTCAACACTGCCCATAGACTCAACACTGCCCATAGATTCAACACTGCCCATAGACTTAACACTGCCCACAGACTCAACACTGCACCATAGACTCAACACTACCTATAGACTCAACACTGCCCATAGACTCAACACTGCCCATAGACTCAACACTGCACCACAGACTCAGCACTGCCCATAGACTCAACACTGCCCATAGACTCAACACTGCCCATAGACTTAACACTGCCCATAGACTCAACACTGCACCATAGACTCTACACTACCCACAGACTCAGCACTGCCCATAGACTCAACACTGCACCATAGACTCAACACTGCACCATAGACTCAACACTGCACCATAGACTCAACACTGCACCATAGACTCAGCACTGCACCATAGACTCAACCCTGCACCGTAGACTCCACACTGCACCGTAGACTCAACACTGCACCGTAGACTCAACACTGCACCGTAGACTCAACACTGCACCATAGACTCAACACTGCACCATAGACTCAACACTGCACCATAGACTCAACACTGCACCATAGACTCAACACTGCACCATAGACTCAACACTGCACCATTGACTCAACACTGCACCAGAGATTCAACACTGCACCATAGACTGAACACTGCACCATAGACTCAGCACTGCACCATAGACTCAACACTGCACCATAAACTCAACACTGCACCACAGACTCAACACTGCACCATAGACTCAACACTGCACCATAGACTCAACACTGCACCATAGACTCAACACTGCACCATAGACTCAACACTGCACCATAGACTCAGCACTGCACCATAGACTCAACACTGCACCATAGACTCCACACTGCACCGTAGACCCAACACTGCACCGTAGACTCAACACTGCACCATAGACTCAACACTGCACCATAGACTCAACACTGCACCATAGACTCAACACTGCACCATAGACTCAACACTGCACCATTGACTCAACACTGCACCAGAGATTCAACACTGCACCATAGACTGAACACTGCACCATAGACTCAGCACTGCACCATAGACTCAACACTGCACCATAAACTCAACACTGCACCACAGACTCAACACTGCACCATAGACTCAACACTGCACCATAGACTCAACACTGCACCATAGACTCAACACTGCACCACAGACTCAACACTGCACCACAGACTCAACGCTGCACCGTAGACTCAACGCCGCACCTCCGATTAGCAAGGTCGGCTACGTACGGTGCAAAGGATGTGCAGCGTACGCACTGGGTGAGCTAGGGCCATCGCGGCGCTGGGAGCTGGCCGAATGAATGGGAGGATGTGGGCTCATCACCTGTCTGAATCGCTTCTTAATGTCCGTGTCCGAGGCCTCCGGGTCCAGCTGTAGCACCTACGACAGCACACGCACACAGCACAGGGGAGCAATCACAAACCAAGACAACATTGAATACAACTCATTGGTGTAGGGCTCTTGCTCCTTGTTGTTGTTGTTGTGTTTGTTGTTGTTGTGTTTGTCGTCATCCCCTCGCACCTCCGATCAGCGCGGTTGGGCTACGCACGGTGCGAAAGAAGTTCAACGCAGGTAAATACAAAGCTGTCTCTCACGTAACACAGCACTCGTGCACAGCACATCACTGACTAGTGTGGTTCACTGTAGTGACAGCGGTTGACTGTGGTGGTTGACTGTGGTGGTTGACTGTGGTGGTTGACTGTGGTGGTTGACTGTGGTGGTAGTGGTTGACTGTGGTGGTTGACTGTGGTGGTTGACTGTGGTGGTTGACTGTGGTAGTTGACTGTGGTGGTAGTGGTTGACTGTGGTGGTTGACTGTGGTGGTTGTGGTTGACTGTGGTGGTTGACTGTGGTGGTTGACTGTGGTGGTTGACTGTGGTGGTTGACTGTGGTAGTTGACTGTGGTGGTAGTGGTTGACTGTGATAGTTGACTGTGGTGGTTCACTGTGGTGGTTGACTGTGGAGGCTGACTGTGGTAGTTGACTGTGATAGTTGACTGTGGTGGTTCACTCTGGTGGTTGACTGTGGTAGTTGACTGTGGTGGTTCACTGTGGTGGTTGACTGTGGAGGTTGACTGTGGTAGTTGACTGTGGTGGTTCACTGTGGTGGTTGACTGTGGTAGTTGACTGTGGTAGTTGACTGTGGTAGTTGACTGTGGTGGTAGTGGTTGACTGTGGTGGTTGACTGTGGTAGTTGACTGTGGTGGTTCACTGTGGTGGTTCACTGTGGTGGTTGACTGTGGTAGTTGACTGTGGTAGTTGACTGTGGTGGTTCACTCTGGTGGTTGACTGTGGTAGTTGACTGTGGTGGTTGACTGTAGTGGTTGACTGTGGTGGTTGACTGTGGTAGTTTACTGTGGTGGTTGACTGTGGTGGTAGTGGTTGACTGTGGTAGTTGACTGTGGTGGTTGACTGTGGTAGTTGACTATGGTGGTTGACTGTGGTGGTTGACTGTGGTGGTTGACTGTGGTAGTTGACTGTGGTGGTTGACTGTGGTAGTTGACTGTGGTGGTAGTGGTTGACTGTGGTAGTTGACTGTGGTGGTTGACTGTGGTGGTTGACTGTGGTGGTTGACTGTGGTAGTTGACTGTGGTGGTTGACTGTGGTAGTTGACTGTGGTGGTAGTGGTTGACTGTGGTGGTTGACTGTGGTGGTTGACTGTGGCGGTTGACTGTGGTAGTTGACTGTGGTGGTAGTGGTTGACTGTGGTAGTTGACTGTGGTAGTTGACTGTGGTGGTTCACTCTAGTGGTTGACTGTGGTAGTTGACTGTGGTGGTTCACTGTGGTGGTTGACTGTGGAGGCTGACTGTGGTGGTTGACTGTGGTAGTTGACTGTGGTGGTTGACTGTGGTGGTAGTGGTTGACTATGGAGGTTGACTGTGGTAGTTGACTGTGGTGGTAGTGGTTGACTGTGGTAGTTGACTGTGGTAGTTGACTGTGGTGGTTGACTGTGGAGGCTGACAGTGGAGGTTGACTGTGGAGGTTGACTGTGGTGGTAGTGGTTGACTGTGGTGGTTGACTGCGGTAGTTGACTGTGGTGGTTCACTGTGGTGGTTGACTGTGGTGGTAGTGGTTCACTGTGGTGGTTGACTGCGGTAGTTGACTGTGGTGGTTCACTGTGGTGGTTGACTGTGGTGGTAGTGGTTCACTGTGGTGGTTGACTGTGGAGGCTGACTGTGGTAGTTGACTGTGGTGGTTGACTGTGGTAGTTGACTGTGGTGGTAGTGGTTGACTGTGGTAGTTGACTGTGGTGGTTGACTGTGGAGGTTGACTGTGGAGGTTGACTGTGGTAGTTGACTGTGGTAGTTGACTGTGGTGGTTGACTGTGGTGGTAGTGGTTGACTGTGGTAGTTTACTGTGGTGGTTGACTGTGGTGGTTGACTGTGGTGGTTCACTGTGGTGGTTGACTGTGGTGGTTGACTGTGGTGGTTGACTGTGGTGGTTTGCTCACCTCGTAGGGGTTGAGGTTGATGTAGGTGGAGCCGGGGCGAGTGAGTCGCTCAATTTGCTGCTTGGGGGTGAGCACCGAGTCGCGTTTCTCGATTTGTTTCACCTGGAAACGGAGGCATCATGTTGATCATCATCACTCATGTAGTCTATAGTGTATTGTAGTGTATGGTGTAGTGTATAGTGTAGTGTATAGTGCAGTGTATAGTAGTGGTATAGTGTAGTCCATGTACGTTGAACTTCGTTCGCACTGTACATAGCCAACCGCGCTAATCGGCGGTGCGGGGGAAGGACAACTAAACACAAAAAGCAACATCACCAACATCACCAACATCACCATCAGCACCATCATCATCACCATCATCATCACCAACATCACCACCATCATCACCAACATCACCATCAGCACCATCATCATCACCAACATCACCACCATCATCACCAACATCACCATCATCACCAACATCATCACCACCATCATCACCAACATCATCACCACCATCATCACCAACATCATCACCAACATCATCACCAACATCACCAACATCATCACCACCATCATCACCAACATCACCAACATCATCACCACCATCATCACCAACATCACCAACATTACCATCAGCACCATCATCATCACCAACATCACCACCATCATCACCAACATCACCATCATCACCACCACCATCATCATCACCAACATCACCATCATCACCACCACCATCATCACCATCATCACCAACATCACCATCAGCACCATCATCATCACCAACATCACCACCATCATCACCAACATCACCAACATCACCATCATCACCACCACCATCATCACCAACATCACCACCATCATCACCAACATCACCAACATGACCAACATCATCACCAACATCATCACCAACATCACCGTCAGCACCGACATCACCATCAGCACGATCAGCACCATCATCACCAACATCACCACCATCATCACCAACATCATCACCAACATCATCACCATCATCGTGAACTTCATCATAATCACTTACTCATCATGAAAACTGAAAAACCACTACCACTATCATCTACAAAAAACATCATCCACACCATTATACACAACACTCCCATCATCATCTACACCACCACCATCATCATACACAACACTCCCATCACCATCTACACCACCATCATCATACACAACACTCCCGTCAACCTCCACACCACCATCATACACAACACTCCCATCAGCATCTACACCACCACCATTATCATACACAACACTCCCATCATCATCTACACCACCATCATACACAACACTCCCATCATTATCTACACCATCATCATCATACACAACACTTCCATCATCATGTACACCACCATCATCATACACAACACTCCCATCATCATCTACACCACTACCATCATCATACACAACACTCCCATCATCATCTACACCACCATCATCATACACAACACTCCCATCAGCATCTACACCACCACCACCATCATACACAACACTCCCATCATCATCTACACCACCACCATCATACACAACACTCCCAACATCATCTACACCACCATCATCATACACAACACTCCCATCATCATCTACACCACCACCATCATCATACACAACACCCCCCATCATCTACACCACCATCACCATCATACACAACACTCCCATCATCATCTACACCACCACCATCATACACAACACTCCCATCATCATCTACACCATCATACACAACACTCCCATCAGCATCTACACCACCACCACCATCATCATACACAACACTCCCATCATCATCTACACCACCATCACCATCATACACAACACTCCCATCATCATCTACACAACCATCATCATACACAACACTCCCATCATCATCTACACCATCATCATCATACACAACACTCCCATCGCCATCTACACCACTATCACCATCTCACACAACAGCATCATCTTGGCCATCATCAGCAGCGTTACGAACCACAACAGTTTCCACCCATTGACCATCACCAGGAGCTCACGACCGTGCGACGTTCGTCTTCCCCAAAGCTTCGCGTACAGCTCAATCCACTGCTGGATGAATCCCGCATAAAAGCCCCCGGGGCAGCGTATACATTCAGCGCGTTAAAACGTTCCGCCAATTATATATTCATTTAAAAAAAAAATTAGCAAACAAAAAACGTTAAATACATTTGCACAACCTCGTTTGCACGATTCCAATTTCAAACCGCACGTTTAATTCCACTTCGCTTTAGTGGCAAGGGGGCATTCAAATTGTCCCCGAATAAAAATCATAGAGACATCACGCTTGCGGCCTAGCTCATCGGTGGAGCCCGCCGCCTTTCCTAATTCCTCTGCCGGCCAGGGCTCACCGCCGGCGGCGGGCGGGTATCGGTAGGGTGGGGTAGTGGTGCGGGGGGGGGGGGGGGAGGCGGGAGTTGGTTCGTCTGGGAAAAAAATGATAACCGCCGCTCAGCCGCCAAAGTCGAAGGTGGCTTCGACGATGGCAGCGGCCGCCGCACGCCGCTCTGAGGGCCCCGCACCTCTGTGTAGAACTGGTTGAAGGCTTCCTCCACGCTCTTATCGCTGTTGCTGAACAGCGCCTCGCTCGAAGACGCCTCCATGTTGCCCGCCTCGGCTTCCACGGGGGACGCGGAAGACGGAAGATTCTGCCGAGAGGGGGTTTCTGAACGCCGGAATATCTTCCAGAAGAAGAAGACAATGCGAGTTCATGGTGGGGGGGGGTGGTGACGGAAGAGTGTACCGAGAGGGGGTTTCTGAACGCCGGAATATCTTCCAGAAGAAGAAGACAATGCGAGTTCATGGTGGGGGGGTGACGGAAGAGTCTACCGAGAGGGGGTTTCTGAACGCCGTGATATCTTCCAGAAGAGGAAGACAATGCGTGTCCATGGTGGGGGGGTGACGGAAGAGTCTACCGAGAGGGGGTTTCTGAACGCCGGAATATCTTCCAGAAGAAGAAGACAATGCGAGTTCATGGTAGGGGGGGTGACGGAAGATGCTACCGAGATGGAGTTTCTGAACGCGAGCATATCTTCCAGAAGAGGAAGACAATTCAAGTGAACGGTAGGGGGGAGGGGTGACGGATGATTCTACCGAGAGAGGGTTTCTGAACACCGGCATATCTTCCAGAAGAGGAAGACGATGCGTGTTCATGGTGGGGGGTGACGGAAGAGTCTACCGAGAGGGGTTTCTGAACGCCGGGATATCTTCCAGAAGAAGAAGACTATGCGAGTTCATGGTAGGGGGGGTGACAGGAGAGTCTACCGAGATGGAGTTTCTGAACGCGAACATATCTTCCAGAAGAGGAAGACAATTCAAGTGAACGGTAGGGGGGGGTGTGACGGAAGATTCTACCGAGAGAGGGTTTCTGAACGCCGGCATATCTTCCAGAAGATGAAGACAATGCGAGTTCATGGTAGGGGGGGATGACGGAAGATTCTACCGAGATGGAGTTTCTGAACGGGAGCATAGCTTCTAGAAGAGGAAGACAATTCAAGTGAACGGTAGGGGGGGGTGTGACGGAAGATTCTACCGAGAGAGGGTTTCTGAACGCCAGCATATCTTCCAGAAGTAGAAGACAATGCGAGTTCTTGGTGGGGGGGGTGACGGAAGATTCTACCAAGATGGAGTTTCTGAACGGGAGCATTGCTTCTAGAAGAGGAAGACAATTCAAGTGAACGGTAGGGGGGGGGTGTGACGGAAGATTCTACCGAGAGAGGGTTTCTGAACAACGGCATATCTTCCAGAAGTAGAAGACAATGCGAGTTCTTGGTGGGGGGGGGGGGGTGACGGAAGATTATACCGAGGGGGTTTCTGAACGCGAGCATATCTTCCAGAAGAGGAAGACAATTCTTCTTATACCAATAGGGGGTGTCTGAACATGGTGGTAGCGGATTTCGGAATCTGTATTTGGACCCTGGGAAGGAATCCGATGAGCTAAGAAGCTCTTTCTTGTCTTGCACAGATGCCCAGCAGCAGGCTTCATGCACAGGCAGTGAAGATTATCTGAAAGGGTCCTGGGCCTTCCCTAGGTCGACTCAGTCTCAAATGAGGAGCTGGTGCGGTGTATAGTGAACATCGCCACTGGGGAGAACAGGGGGAGATCATACAAACTCCACTCACTCTGTAGGACAGGGGAGATCATACAAACTCCACTCACTCTGTAGGACAGGGGAGATCATACAAACTCCACTCACTCATAATAAAGGTTTTGGGTTAGATCGCGTTTATTTATAAATGTGTCGTAACCCTCCACCACCCGACACGGCCAATCAGCAAAAAAAGTGTCACGTTGACAAAAGACAAATAATTCACTACTTCAGCCCACCGGTGTGTTGAAGAGTTAATCCACATTTACAGTTTGAGTACGACGTTTCGCTGGTAAATACATCCAGCATCATCGGGCAATTCGCCAGAATGGTAAAGCCCTCGCTTGCTCCCGGTTTTATATAGAGCAGCAGGGTGACGTCATCACTTAACTCATCAGGTGCAGTGATTAGAGGCGGAGGGGGGGGTAATGTAATTATATAATCGATTAGTAATCAGTCATTGGTTATGATTAGTAATGAGTTGTAGATTAGTAATTCTTTAAATCAAAATCTAATGTGTATTATTTAATAATACGCTTCCAGGCCGCACTAAGCCGGTAGCTGTCAGAGCGATTAAAGTTATTCTTGTTCCTCTCAATTTCAATGGATTCTCTAATTAGTCTTTGCCAGTAATAATTAGTTTTACACACCACTGCAACATTGTCAAAATCAATTGAGTGTCCTTGTTGACAAGCATGTTCTGCCACTGCCGACAGTTGTGTTTGAGATAAATCGCTTAAATTACTTGATACACTAGTAAAGAATACCGGTTTACAAAAAGATATTCCGAAACTTGCTGGCCATTGTTTAAATAACACTTACTTCTTATGGAGAGGGGATTTCTTTAAACAAAAGGAAGGAGCAGCAATGGGTTCTCCTTTATCCCCTGCTATAGCAAATTTGTACATGGAAAACTTTGAAATAACAGCACTTGCCTCGAGCACATTAAAACCATCCTTTTGGTTTAGGTATGTGGATGACACTTTGGTTGTCTGGCCACATGGTAAAGATACACTTAATGACTTTCTAAATCATCTCAATGCACAAAACCCGGCCATCCAGTTCACCATGGAAATGGAGGTGAATAACACACTCCCATTCCTAGATATTTTGCTTGGACATGGCCTAAACGGTAAAATAACACACAGCGTTTACAGAAAGCAAACGCACACTGATGCCTATCTGAATGCAGAATCACATCATCATCCAGCTCAAAAATCCTCTCTTATCAAGACGCTCGTACATCGGGCGAAAACGGTGTCAGATGGTGAGAGTCTAGTGAGAGAGATTAAACACGTTAAAGACGCACTACGACAGAATGGCTACAATAATGCTCAAATTAACAGAGCACTGAATGCCAAATCACGATCGCAAAGCAATACTACTGAAAGCGACCAGATTGTTAAAACAATAAAAATTCCATATATCTCAGGAGTAACTGACAAATTAGCCCGCGTTTTGCAAAAGCAAAACATTACAGTAAGATTTGGTACAGTACACAAAATTCAAAAACTAGTATCTTGCACTAAAGACGCATTACCTAAACTATCAACAGAAGGTGTATATCGGATTAATTGTTCATGTGGCAGCTGCTACATTGGGCAGACGGGACGTAACATCAGCGTAAGACTAAAAGAACATCAGAGAAATATTAAATTATCTCAAACACAACTGTCGGCAGTGGCAGAACATGCTTGTCAACAAGGACACTCAATTGATTTTGACAATGTTGCAGTGGTGTGTAAAACTAATTATTACTGGCAAAGACTAATTAGAGAATCCATTGAAATTGAGAGGAACAAGAATAACTTTAATCGCTCTGACAGCTACCGGCTTAGTGCGGCCTGGAAGCGTATTATTAAATAATACACATTACATTTTGATTTAAAGAATTACTAATCTACAACTCATTACTAATCATAACCAATGACTGATTACTAATCGATTATATAATTACATTACCCCCCCCTCCGCCTCTAATCACTGCACCTGATGAGTTAAGTGATGACGTCACCCTGCTGCTCTATATAAAACCGGGAGCAAGCGAGGGCTTTACCATTCTGGCGAATTGCCCGATGATGCTGGAAGTATTTACCAGCGAAACGTCGTACTCAAACTGTAAATGTGGATTAACTCTTCAACACACCGGTGGGCTGAAGTAGTGAATTATTTGTCTTTTGTCAACGTGACACTTTTTTTGCTGATTGGCCGTGTCGGGTGGTGGAGGGTTACGACACATTTATAAATAAACGCGATCTAACCCAAAAACCTTTATTATGAATAATATTGGTCGCGAAAGCCTACGTGTTAAACTCCACTCACTCACTCTGTAGGACAGGGGGAGATTATACAAACTCCACTCACTCACTCTGTAGGACAGGGGGAGATCATACAAACTCCACTCACTCTGTAGGACAGGGGAGATCATACAAACTCCACTCACTCTGTAGGACAGGGGAGATCATACAAACTCCACTCACTCTGTAGGACAGGGGGAGATCACACAAACTCCACTCACTCTGTAGGACAGGGGAGATCATACAAACTCCACTCACTCTGTAGGACAGGGGAGATCATACAAACTCCACTCACTCTGTAGGACAGGGGGAGATCATACAAACTCCACTCACTCTGTAGGACAGGGGAGATCATACAAACTCCACTCACTCTGTAAGACAGGGGGAGATCATACAAACTCCACACACTCTGTAGGACAGGGGAGATCATACAAACTCCACTCACTCACTCTGTAGGACAGGGGGAGATTATACAAACTCCACTCACTCTGTAGGACAGGGGGAGATCATACAAACTCCACTCACTCTGTAGGACAGGGGAGATCATACAAACTCCACTCACTCTGTAGGACAGGGGAGATCATACAAACTCCACTCACTCTGTAGGACAGGGGGAGATCACACAAACTCCACTCACTCTGTAGGACAGGGGAGATCATACAAACTCCACTCACTCTGTAGGACAGGGGAGATCATACAAACTCCACTCACTCTGTAGGACAGGGGGAGATCATACAAACTCCACTCACTCTGTAGGACAGGGGAGATCATACAAACTCCACTCACTCTGTAAGACAGGGGGAGATCATACAAACTCCACTCACTCTGTAGGACAGGGGAGATCATACAAACTCCACTCACTCACTCTGTAGGACAGGGGAGATCACACAAACTCCACTCACTCTGTAGGACAGGGGGAGATCATACAAACTCCACTCAACTCTGTAGAACAGGGGGAGATCATACAAACTCCACTCGGCAGAAAAGGCGGAGATCACACAAACTCCTCTCACTGTAGGCCGGGGGGAGATCATACAAACTCCACTCAACTCTGTAGAACAGGGGGAGAACATACAAACTCCACTCGGCAAAAAAGGCGGAGATCACACAAACTCCTCTCACTCTGTAGGACGGGGGGAGATCATACAAACTCCACTCACTCACTCTGTAGGACAGGGGAGATAATACAAACTCCACTCACTCTGTAGGACAGGGGAGATCACACAAACTCCACTCACTCTGTAGGACAGGGGAGATCACACAAACTCCACTCTACTCTGTAGAAC